CCTTTACCAATGAAACACCCTGTATAGGCTGGAAGGGATGTCCGGTAAATGACTATTTTAGGGTTGTTCGATGTTATAAGTGTTCGGGTCTAGGTCATGAAGAAAAAAAATGTGAAGGTAAAGGCACTTTATAAAAGATTGTAAAGCAGGTCATAAGAAATGTAGTAATTGTTTTATTCATAATAGTAAGCACAAAACCAGCTTAGATTGTAACCACGCTGCCGAAGATACAAGTAAATGTCAAATTATTCAAAATTATATATCTAATCTAAAAGTTAATAGAAAGTATGAATAAAAAGAATATTTATAAACATAACACTTTAAAAATTGGATATAATTAACGTTTGATCGATCTTAGCTGGTTTTAATGACTTTTCAACTATTATCCGCGATAAAGATTTTAATATTGTAGCTGTGTCAGAGACATGGCTTAAAACTGATATACCATCTTATCTTATACATATTGATGGATATAATTTTTTTCGATATGAAAGAAATAGCCGTGACGGTGAAGTTAAAGTTTTTGTCAAAAGTAAATATCACTGTCAAACTGTCACATCTGAGCCAAGTGTAGAGTTTATGGGTTAAAATAAAAATTAATAGCAAATGTGTGTCAGTTGATATTTTCTATAGACCACCGAAGGGATCTGTGTCAAATTTTATTAATTTGCTGGATGACATATTGACATCAATTGTGCCGCAATTTGATAATATTTTTGTAGTTGGTGTTGTAAATATCGATTTAACTAACGCTGACATCAATTTCGATCGTTGCTTTGAAGTCTATGGACTAAAACAAGACATTTCAGAGCCTACACGCATCACAAAAACCTCAGCTACGCTTATTAAGTGGTACTCTAAACGCTGATCTTTTTTCTGATCATAGGTTTGTTTATTGTGCTTTAAAATTTAAATGTTTACATATTCGACAAAAGTTTATTACCTACCTTTAGAGATATTAAAAACTTAGATATGCATGCTTTTAATAATCAATTAAATAATATACATTGGCTTGATATAGTTACTGTAATAGATATAGAAAACAAAGTCAGATTTCTTATTAATAATATTACTAAATTATTTGATACTCACTGTCCGTATAGAACAATAAGGATCAGTAAACCTCAATCTCCCAGGCTAACAGAAAATCTCAAACTGATATGAAGACCACAAGGGAAAAAGGGGGAATGTCACAAAAAGTAAGTTTCGAGAAAAACGAATTTTAAAGTTTAAAACCTTTAGGATCCTTAATTAGTGAATAAATTTAAATCAATTCGACACATATATATTTTTCAACTTATAATAAACATTACATAGTAATATTGAAACAAAAAATAGTTTTTTTTTGTTTACCAAATAAGTAAAATAATAAAAAAAAAAACGTATTATTCACGGTAAAAACAGGGAATGTCTCTACATTAATAAAATATACAATAGAAAACGAGGAATGTCCTAAAATAAAACCTGAATTTTAATAACATAAAATGGAAAATGTCTAGTCACATCGGACTGTTATTTTCCTTCTTGCTTTTCTTTTCTTGTTTTTTTTTTTGTCAGAATAAGGTAATTTATCGTAGTATTGTTGAGTTTCTTCGGAGCACAACTTTTTCAGATGTTAGAAATCTTGAAACTTATCAGTAGATATAGGTACAAGACCTTAAAAAAATAGATTCATGGCGTTAGGAGTAAACAATTATTAGAAAGTTAAATAATCTTACCTTCATACTTGCGGCCAGGATACAAAAATTCGTGCTTGTTTAATTCTGGATTTATCCTTTTCTGTTTGGGGGGTAATATAACGGATTGTTCCCATGCTCCATTAAATGACGATCTATGCAAAATCAGACGCGGATGGTCATCGCTGGTTTTTATTTCCCTTATAGGGCGTGTAGGAAACGGACACTTTTTCTTATAATCTAATTTTTCAAAAAAGGTTTTCCAATCCCTGATAATATCCTGATTGTTTTCAAGGTCCTCTACATGAAACGATGATGGCTTAATCCTAGATTTTTCAATTTCTTGTACCCAATGATGTGGAAGTTCAGCAGCATATTTTTGGTTTATAACTGCCATATCGCTATCGCATTCTAAATAGGAATGTCCTCGAATTGGAAAAGTAATTTTAACAGACTCTAGTTTCTTTCGTACATTAACAATATAATGTATGTATTTGATTAGATTATAATTTTTGTTCTGACCTCCACAGGAATCACAAAATATTTCCAAATGCTTAATTCCTCGAACTAGAAAATTTTCAATAAAGTGATGTAACATTGAAATTACCTCACAGCTTCCCTTATATTAGCAACTGTTTCGGGATATATACGTAAAATACAACTTCATCGTTTGCCAAAATGTGTATATTAAACAAATAAAGCGATAACTGCCTTTTGTAGTACACATCATTTGTAGTACACATCATTTGTAGTACACATCATTTGTAGTACACATCATTTGTAGTAATGTTTTTACGAAATCCATACAAATGGCTTCAGTTTCACCATCTTTTTGACATTGAATTTTCAAAGCACGCTTTCTATCGTAAAATACCTGCGCTTTTTTTTATGTAGCATATTTTCGTTTTCTAATGTTTGTAAAGATTTTTGTAAATTATTAGTAACTTCAGGAGATCGTGTAATCTTAAGTTTTAGCGTTGTGTTTTTTAGTAGCAGTACATTGATCGCAAGCACTACAGGTATCTTTACGTGGATAACCAAAAGCAATGTTAAATTTTGTATTAAATGTCTTTCTGTAAAATTCGTATGAAACTGGTTGATCTGGATATGTTTCAACATACAATTTATACATTTTTGCAATGTTAAGGTCTTCACTTAAATATAGGCGATCTGTTTTTTAAGGCTATAGTGACTTTTACATCCTTTAAATGTTCGTATGTGACTTTCTACACTTTCAGTAGTCTCTTCAGACTTTTGTTAGGCCGATTTGAATGCTTACCTCTTAAATCGGTAGGATAAGTACCTGTTGCTTTCAAAGATTTTTGTAGGTACTCCATTTTCTTTTTAGTAATGCCATGTATGGACAAAAAAGCCTTATAACATACAGGTATCTCCAAAATATCTGCGTCCCTTTTAATTTTGACATGATATGAATCAGACTTGTCGTGCAGTAATGCGGTATCTTCAGATTTTCGTGAACGTCTTCGTTGGATAGTCTTACATGATATTAGTCCACAAGTATAAATTTTGTTGGGTAGTTGAATTCAGTTGATTAAAGTTGTTTAAAATGACTTGTCTTTCTTTAATAGTGGTAGTCATTAACTTTAGTTTTTTATTAACATCTCGAAGTCGCCCATGACTTGATATTTTCCTAAACTTCCTAATATTTAATACTTCGCTCTGCTGTTCTTCTAATTCTTCCATTTTTCTATTTATTTAGGTATATTAAAACAGGCACTGACTTGCAAAAAATTCAACAACACGTGTAACACGTCCAAACAACTAAATGATACTGTCTTTAAAAGTTTACGATAATAGCGATCGAAAACAAAACTTGGACATTTCCCCTTTATACCATTTATAATGTGGACATTCCTCGTTATTCCCCTGTGCCTGATATTTAGAATCACTAATATTAGGTGACTATATTAGCTTCTTGTCTTGGAGGTTTGGTTATAATAAAATATCGGCATTTAGCTAAAAGATAGCGGTATCAGCTCCATTTTTGATATATTGTGACATTCCCCCTTTTTCCCTTGTGGTCTTCATATATAATGAACGAAATAAAACACTGTCCCGTTTTAAGCTCCTAAAAACACCAGAATTTTTGAATAACTATAAACAGCTCAGAAACTTTGCTCTTCTTTCTACTAGAAATGAAAAAGCTGCCTACCTTCGTCATGAAAGTGCTCAAGGTACATCAACATTTTTTAAACTTTGAAAACGAAAAATAATGACATACCATACGAATTAGCTGATCCATATAAAAGTAACGATGCCTTTATCTCAGTTTTTCAAACAGTAATAAAACCTGCTTTGAAAAAATTGCGTACTACAGAACAAATAAATTTAATTTTAATAAAACATTTGAATTTAGCTTTGTTGATGTTGACACCATCTCCAAAACTATAGGTGCAATAAAATCGAATTTCATGGCGTAGATAATATATCTTTAGAAGTGCTTAAACTTTTTATGCCAGTGATTTCTATTTATATTACGCACATTGTGAACTGTTGTCTTGAAAGCGGATATTTTACAGATCAGTGGAAAAAAGCAGTCGTGGTACCTCTTCCAATAAAAAAAAAAACAAATCCAGCGACTTTTAATGAATTGCGTCCTATAAGTTTACTTCCTATTCTCTCTAAAGTTTTGAAGAGAATAGTATTATGAGCAAATCTATGAATTATTTTCATCTAATAATATACTTGGATCAAAAACAAGCTACAGCACTAGTGTTACTTGACTATACTAAAGCGTTTGATACTTTAAATCCACTTAATTAAATTTAAAACCTACGTAATGAAACAAAATTTGATTTTTCTCGAAAACGGTCGACTTTAGAGCGTATGACCAAGAGTACCTTTTTTGTGTAGAAAACATTGGCGGTTCAAATGGGCGTCTCAAAACCGTACTTTTTTCAGTGGCGTAGAATTTTTTTTCTTTTAATTTCAACACCCTGTATCTCGAAAATGGTGCATTTTAGGGGGTAAGTTAATAGAAACGTTTTTTCATTTTTTTGGACGAGCTATCACGTCCTAAAGTCTTGCGCATATATTATGAAACACCCTGTATAAAGAGAAAAGCTTCATTAGTTATGGCTCACAAATTGATACAAGACATGACATAACCTAGGAAATCCAGATTTAAGACAATTTTAACGACTTAAATGTAAGCTCTGCTTAGTCCGTCTAAGATCGATTTTTTTGACTCGAATGTAAGGCAGACTAAAGTTGCATGTGGAAATTGATAATGCGTTGTTGCAACCGGGAATTATTAACTGCCTTTTTTTTAGTTAAAAATATTTAATTTATTTTTTGTTCCAGGTGTCAGATGTCAACGATGATGTCCGAAGAGCTGCAGTTACAGCTCTTGGTTTCTTGTTATTCAGGTAAGTTTTTCTTCACTCTTTCAAGCATCCTTTTGCTTATACCCCAAAGTAGTCCAAGTTCTCTCAAAACAGGCAATGTAATAATTTTGTTTACCTGAATTTTTCATTCCAATTTCAACCAAAACAATATTCGAATATTTAAAAAAAAAAAGAGAAATCAATTTACAATTTACGTAAAAGTTATCAGTGTTTTCCGTTCGAAATGTAAAATAAACAGTTTTTTTCTTTCTGCAATACTTGGGCACAAGGTTGTTGATAAATACCGCTCTCATTATCAGATGTGCGTTTTGAAAAGCAATTCCTTTTTGTCTCGTCCTTCGTAAAATATGTTCCGCCGACTGTGTTTCTGAGTGAACTTCGGAAATTGGGAGTTTCGTTAAATGAAATTATGTTTTAAAAATATCTGTATATAGCGGCCTCTCTCTCTACTAAGAAAACAATAATATTTATAGCATAATCATCACGTTAAAAAAAAAAACAGGAGGAATTTAGTCAGTGGTTCCACCGATGATTTTTTTGCATATAATTGGGCAATTCTATTATCTTATCACTTTTGCATTAAAAGTTTAAACAGATGCACTGTTGATTCAACTAAAAATAAAAATACCAATAAACAAAAAAAAAATACAAATAATTATGTCAAACTGGTCCAAATTGGAACAAACTCAAGTACGTAACATTGGCAACATCGTCAATAAAATATAGGTTTTCAAGAAAAGTCCATAACTAGTTTTATTCACTAGTTATAACTCCTCAAAATATAGAATTTTAACGGTTTCATATTTTTATTGTTAAATTCCTAGTTCATTAATTTCAAATAAAATTAAAAATCACATTTGTATCATATTTTTATTATTATATTGTCACATTTTTCCCAATTTCAATTAATTATTTAAATAACGCCCCCCTTTACATGAAAGTTTGTTTAATTATGTCGTGAACTTGTTTTAAGTTGTAATCATGTACAAGGCTGATAATTATTAAACATAAATAAAATAATATACTATGAAAGAAACTATAAAGAGGGAACAAGGTCACATGCGGCATTTTTCGAATGGCGAATTAGGCCGCATCTTGGTCTTAGAACCTTTTTTGTATTTTCAATCGCGGTATTGACTTTTAATCAAGGATTGTAACTGAATTTTCAAAGTATAAATAATATTGAGTTTCTGGATTGATATAATTTTTTATAAGATCAATTACGTCTTTTTCGAAATTATTTTGTGAAACTTGAAAATTTATACGTTTCTTTTTCTCGAAAAGAATCTTAATTTTAGGATTAGCTGATGAATGTAGAACTGAACTGATTATTATTTGGTTTGAGCCATAATTTACTGCAGTGTTTATAGTAGGGATTTCAAAAGTTGGATTATGTTCATTATTAGAATGTATGGTGTCATTTTCACTAGCATTATCGTTATCAGTTTGATTCGGCTGGTCGTTTATTTCTAAATTTAATTCGGTTTCTGGGTCAATTTGAGGCTCCAGATCTGGCTGTACAATTAGTAAAACATTATCAGTCTCGTCATTTGTGTTTGTTGTGTTATTTTCTAGAGATTTATTTGAAATAGGAATATCTTCTGTATAAAGGTCTAGAAAGGAGTCTTGTGTATTTGTTACTTGTTTGGAATTAGACAAGTTATTGTGGTTTTAGTTGTAATTGTCTACGTCTTTTAATATGTCACCTAATTGTTTCCAAAAATTGTCTGTATCTTTCGTATGAATTTCTATTCTCGAAAGTGCGTCTGCGTTAGAGTTTAACGTTCCCTTTTTGTATATGACATTATATGTATATTCTGATGATTTAAATTTCCAACGGGTGAATTTAGAGTTTTCATCCTTTAAAGAAAATAGCCATTTAAGGGGTTTGTGGTCTGTTACAATATTAAATTCTTTACCAAATAAATATGGGCGAAAATATTTAGTACTCCAAACAATCGCTAAGAGTTCTTTTTCGATTACAGAGTAGTTTTGTTCAGAGTCATTCAACGTGCGTGAAGCATAAGCTATTGGTAGGTCTTTACCAATAGGTCCTTGTGGAAACACAGCTCCGATAGCAACATTACTTGCGTCGATTGTTAAATTAAACGTTTTTGAAAAATCTGGGTATTGTAAAATCGGTTCGTTTATTAGTAGGTTTTTGCAAATTTTTAATTCATCATTATGAACAATTTTTGCACCTTTTTTTAGACATTTCGTTAGAGGCTTTGTGATTTTAGCAAAATTCGGAATAAATCTCCTATAATATCCTAACAACCCCAAGAATCCTTTAATTTGTTTTGTTGAATTAGGTATAGGGTAATTTTTTATAGCTTTAATCTTATCCGGATTGGGTTTGACACCCTCCGGTGTTACGATATGACCTAAGTAGGTCACTTCCTTTCTTAAAAATTCAGACTTATCTAGTTGAATTTTAAAATTCGACTCTCTAAGTCTTTGAAAAATGTTTTTAAGGCGGTTAATGTGTTCTTGCAAGGAAGTTGAAAATATGATAATATCGTCTAAGTATACAAGACATTGTTCGTTTTGTATACCTCTCAGGATATTATCCATAACTCGCTGGAATGTAGCGGGGGCTCCTTTCAATCCACACGGCATTCTTAGGAATTCCTAATGTCCGTTTTCAGTAGTAAACGCTGTTTTTTCGACATCTTTTTAATCCATCTCTATCTGGTGGAATCCACTTGCCAAATCGAGAGTGGTGAAATATTGACACCTACCTAATTTGTCTAACAAATCCGTTATATTTGGTAGAGGATAAGTAGATAAACTATACCATTTCCCCACCGGAAGTGAGAGATAAGGAAGATAAGAGAGATAAGGATCCCACGTGTCAAGGTCAAGGTCAAGGTCAACAAGGTCAAGGTCAGGGTCAAGGTCAATGTCAAGGTCAAGGTCAAAGACAAGGTCAAGGCCACTGATAAGAATCTATTTTTAGCAAGGTCAAGGTTAAGGTCAAAGACAAGGACAAGGACTAGGCCACTGATAAGAGAGAAAGGGATCTATTTTTAGAACCTCCAGTGCCAAGGTCAAGGTCAGGGCCAAGATAATGGTCAATGTCATCAAGGTCATCAAGGTCAAGGTCATTAAGGCCAAGGTCATCAAGGTCACGCACGACTCGGATGCCCCACCCATACGGACGACAAGGTCACGCACAACCCACATGCCCATACCCACGCGGACAAGTTCAGCCACCGATCACGCACGACCCACATGCTCGTACACACGCGGACAAGTTCACGTACCAACCACGCACGACCCACACTCACAAGGGCTCGGTTCATGCACTTCCCACGCACCAAACACAAGGGTCCGTTTCATGCACTTCCCACACACCAATCATGTACCGACCACACACAACCCACATGACCCACCCACACAAGGGCCCCGTTTCGCGAACTTTCCACGCACGCTGCTTTTAAAAATATAATTTTAGAAATCCATTTTCAAAAATCTAAAGTAAAACTTCTTCATTATTGTTTTAAGAGAACTATTTTAAGAATTCTATTTTAAGAAATCTATTTTAAGGAATTTATTTTTAGAAATCTATTTTAAGACATCTATTTTAAGAAATCTATTTTTAGAAATCTATTTTAAGAAATCTATTTTAAGAAATCTATTTTAAGAAATCTATTTTAAGAAATCTATTTTTAGAAATCTATTTGAACAAATCTATTTTAAGAAATGTATTTTAAGAAATCTATTTTAAAAAATCTAATTTTCCATTTTTAAAAATCTAAAGAAAAACATCTTTACGCCTCACGAATCCCACGTGCCAAGGTCAAAGTCAAGGTCAAGGTGTATCTAAATATTGATATGAATATCATGTTTTTTGTGTGGGCGATTTAAACATATAAATAGTGAACAGATTGCTGTAGTATTCAGTAAAAAACATTCAAAACTCCCTTAGATTTGATTTGTTTAGATTAGATTTTCAAGGAGACATTATTCGACTCCGTTATTTAGAGTATGTCGTCTAGCTTGGTCTCGTTTACTTGACTTATGGTCAAACAGGTTGTAAGAATGTAAGACAAGAAGGTTAAATCCTTTAATAATGAATGTGTTTTAGATGTAAGAAGGGTCTAGAATCTAAATGATGTTTAAAATTCTCACACATTTTTTTTTTAAATAATCTAGATTAACAATTTCCGGTATACTGAAAGTAGTCAAAAGGGCATTACACATATCTCCGCTATTATTGATCAGATTCAAACGGGGGAGTGTTAGGGAATTAAATCTCTATTATTGCTGAAGAGAAAAATCATGCGATGTCGTAAGGACTCAAGCATGTATCTTGATTATTATTGGTCGGACTTAAACAAGGAAAATGACATTGATTTAGATTAATGTTGAAGAGAAAAATCCTTGTTATAATTATTAATGGATGTTAGGTGTAAGAGATTTTCATTAATTAACAGGTTGTAAGGACATAAGATAAGAAGGGTCAAAGGTTAAAACTATTTTACATAATTATTAGAAAGTTTATAGTTTGGAGGGTTGGCAGGGTTGCAACTTATTATAAGTATTAAAATGTTGGGAATTTCGAGGCATGAAGATTTGCAGATATTATTATCGGTATTGCAGATTTCATACTTATCGATTATTGTGAAGTTAATCATTGTCTACATCAGCACTTAAAAATTTAAAAAAAAATCATAATTATAATTAGGGAAGGGGGTTACCCCTCAATAGCACTTAGGTCTCATCGGCACCATTGCACATCCTCCTCATCTCATCATACAACCTACATAATATCTTAACCCTGAATGGGAAATATTTTAAATTTTACAGTTTTGGATGTTAGATGTAAGAAGGGTCAAAGGTTTAAACTATTTTTAATAACTATTAAAAAGTCTAGAGTTTGGAGGGTTGAAACTTAGGTGTTTAAGTCTAAGGATATTATAAGTATTTAAATGTTTTAAAACTCTAAAGTTAATGTTATTATTATCGGTAATGTAGATTTCATACTTATCGATTGGTGAAGTTAATTACTGTCTGCA